TCTGCAGGGGGCACAAAGTTCTGCATACCCTGCAGCATAGCAGCATGGCATTCAGTTCGCACGTAACTGAAGCCGTCCGGGTATGCAATCCTGGGGCCTCCCACAGACGCTAAGATCAGTGCGGCCTCAGCAACCTCCCGAGCTGGCGCTTGAGGCATGTTGGAGGCTCTTGCAGCAGCGGCCGGGGCGGGCTGCGAGCCGGTGCCCGTCCTACGCCGTATGAGAGGCACGTCATCCTCTGCATCAGCCTCCGCGTCTTCCCTCGAACGCCTTCTGGAGCTGGAAGGCGCAGACTCGACTCTTTGCTCGGCACGCGGCCTTTGTGCCGAGCTGGAACTTCTGTGTTGCGAGCTGCGCCCTGGTGCAACAGGTGGCCGCTCGTCAAAACGAGACTGGCGTTGGGAACCCGACCCGGCTCCTCGATTCCTGGAGCCTTGCGCTCTCTGTCGTTGACGCTCAAGGATGCTGCTCATGACTCCTGCACAAACAAAAGCATAAGACTCAGATCGGCTAGAAGCTACACCAGTATATAAAGATATACCTTGAGAGTGTAGATTTGCCACATCGACAAATCCGAGAACTGCAATCTGCTCCGGGGTAACCAAGGTTTCCAAATCCACTAGCCCCCTCGCCTTCACATAGTCGAGCAGCCGATTCTTCAGGTCGACGTCGCCACTGGTCAGCTGGGGATAGTTCATATATGCGTTCGGCGTGCGCCACTCTGACAGACGGGCGGCGAGCTCGTTGTTCATCCTGTCAGTTCGCGTATCCCGCACGAACACGAACTGTCTTTTCCACCTCGCTACCTTATTTCTGATGTTGGTGAAGATCAACATCTTCTCCCTGCCCGAGATGTAGTACCATCTCGTCCCGCTGGTGGACGGACACAAACGGCATAGGAAGAGCGACCTGAAGACCACCGCCTTTGCAGGCACCCCTAGCCTTTCGCACAACAGCATAAAGCCTATGATGAACTTTATGCTGTTAGGAGTAAGTTGCGAAAGGGCCAGTTCGTACTCTGCCAGGACATCAAAAATTAGTCCGGGCAGAGGAAAACGTAGACTGGCATCAAAGTGGTCTACGTATACTGGCACCCAGCCTGTCCGTGACACTGAACACGCTCGTTCATTTGGTGTCCCAGCTCGGATCAGGATGGTCCTGGGGATCTGGAATCGCCTCACCATATCTTCCAGCTTCTTGTACCCTTTCACCGTGGCCGCACCATCAACGACCTCGTGATGAAGCACCGCCCTGAATTTGAAGCCGGACGGTAACGTTTTAGGAGCTTTACGCAGGTTGTCTAGTCGCCCGCTAAGAACCTGATTCTCCCACCGTTCAAGCAAAACCACCTCAACGACCGTACTCGCCAGCGGCACACTGCACCCAACCTCTTCAACACCCCTTACTTCGCCGGATGTCCCCTCCACAGGCGAATCACTAGGAGTTGAAGGCTGGTGGTTCTCAGAACCGCTACTTGTGCTCGAACTAGTGCTATTCTCAGGCGTGGCAGTCCTAGGCGAATCCTGCAACTCCGGCGGCACTATCATGGTGATAGGCTCCACGGATATCACGTCTACGTCCTCGTCTTCACCTTGGTTACCCCGGAATCCTTGTGCATCGTGCGAAGAAGTCATTTTTACCTGAATAATGGAAATCGAATGTCCCTTTGCTGAAAATTGTGAGGAATACTCTGGAGCGTTTCTGCAACTGTTGCTGAGGAGAATGTTAACGTACTGAGCAATGAAACAGAAATGTCCTTTTGTTTTTCTCCTTCAGATAACGCCCTGTAATTTTCATACGCGTGTTACGACCCCTCAGTTAAAAACGTCCACGTGGCAGCCATTTATGGGCAAAAACTCAAAACGCGCCGTTGCAGCCGTCACGTCTCCTCAAATGCTGAGCCAGCATTTATTGTGGGGAGGCAAAAAGGCGTCTGCTAAAATCAGAAGAATATCAAACGCCCTGAGCAAATCTCCTCTGAGATTCGACACAGTTGTTGAAAAATCCAAAGGTTCAGATCGCGACAAACTGCAATGATCAGCTCGTAACAAAATTGGAACATAGGCAAATCTCCTCGAAGATTCGCTAGAGTTAAAATCTTGAAAAATCTAAGGGATCAGCTCGCTACAAATTCGCGATCTCCTCACTGATCCGTCAAAATTCAAAACTTAAAAATCCCGAAAAATCAGCTCGTTGCTAAACTCGAAAAACCTCTGGAAATCAGGTCGCACGGATCATAGATCCACCTCAGATTTGGGCATTGAGCGTTAGATTATAATCAACTCCCTCAGAGCTACTCTGTATCCCAGAGGCATGTATCGATGTGACGAGTCTGGCTGCGATTTTCTGCCCGCTTAGGGTCAGTGCGTCCAGATCGTTCACTATCTGCTCATCGCAGCTCTGCCGCAGGAAAATCCTCAGGCGAGGTCACTCTTGCGCATCTGCCCGGCCCTTCG